ATGTGAAAGGGACAGGAAAGAGCAGACAGCTGCAGCTACCAGGCAGAGAAGCTGCGAGAGGAAAAGAAGCGGCTGCTGTATAGTAAATTATAAACATGTTGTTTACATCCAATTATTGGTAGGGACAAATAGGTCCTTCCAAAATTTTGGTAGGGACATGTCCCTATGGTCCCTATGCAAACCTACGCCCATGGTTGCAGCCCTAACTGAGGTCTGGCATTGCCACTCCCTCCATTAATTATTGCTCAGGTTTGGTTTTAATTTGTTTCTCATTCGTTTTAAACTGACATTTGATTTAATTTTTTTATTCCTCTCATGTAAACGGATGAAGATAAAACAAGTATCATCTTCAAGATCCGGCCCAAAAATATCAGCAGCAAATATTGGGCATCAGTTCAAATGTCAAAAAAAATGCTGAACTCTAGCAAAACCAATAAAAACCCAAGAGACATTTAAAAACTTAAAACAGGAAAACAACATTGAGAATGGCTTAAAAAAAAAAAAAATAAAAGAATTAATACCGAAAATAAAAACTGTTTTAAAAGTGGATTTCAATCATCAAAGCATCAATCGCTACTTTAAGACTTTGTTTTGAGAAAAGAAGCTTAACGTTTGTCAGTTACCTCTGATGAATAAAAACCAGACATGGTCATAGCTCTAACATAAGCTAATCTAAAAGAGTAATTTAGAAGAAAATAAACAACTGAAAGCATGGAAACACACTATGGCATCATGATGAAAAAGGAGGGTCCTTTCTCCCGTATAAAATTAAATCATCATGATGAAATCATAGTCAATCATTGGGTTGTTAACTAACTTCCTTTGGAAAGTAAAAGGCTTCAATCGTTTGTCTAACGATGGTTCTTAATTCCCGTCCTTTTAAAAACTGGATAGATGTGCCTCAAAGATCATGTAACTTTCAGTAAAGTGGATCATTGCACCAACAGTGTCTAGTTAAGTGACTTCTCTTTAGATCATGTTCCTGAGTTTCAGTTTTAGACCCTTATATTTAAAAATACAAAAAAAAAAAAAAAAAAAAAGAACCAAAATGTCAGAAAGAGAGCCCGGTTACAATGTTTACCTGTTCATCTGACCCGTCTGCTGCTACCATGGTAACGGAGTGGGCGCCTTGTGCTGCCAGCTCATGAGCTGGGATTGTTATTGTTGTGCCTTCTTGGGTTACCATGGTGATCGTCCCACCCATAGCCTGCAAGTGTGCCTCTGAGATGCTGACCTAATAGGAGTGGAATACAGAGAAAAGACTGTTCAAACTTACAGCCAATCAGAAGCAGTTCCTTATTTAGTTAAAGGACTAGACTTTGTTTCATTATTCTTGCAAGCAATTTAAATTCAAAAATTGTTTATTAATCCCTAAGGGAAACTAAATGTTGCAGTAACCTATCGTTTTTTTTTTTAAGCAGGTCTTGATAACTGTAGGTAGGATTTGTTAAAAAAAACCTTGCTCCCTGTTGCTCATGATCTTATTCACTTTATAAAAAATTCTTTTTTGTGAACTAAGCTCCAGAGGTTCTACAGGAGGTACTAGAAAAGACCCACCCTTCTTTATTAGCTGGTTTAGCTTTTTTGAGTCATTTGCTCTGATGCCGTTACCCCAGCAATTAAAAAAATAAATAAATAAAATCATCAACCAGTAAAGGTCCGGAGACAATTTGTAAATATAATCTGTTACTTTAAACAGCATTTAACACTGAAATAGAATGAAGTTTTTATGCATCCATGTTATACATTGAATAAAAGAAAAAAGAAAAGAATTATAAAATCTAAAGTGTTTTTGAAGTAGAGAAGAACAATCGTTCAGTTTGGTATATAGACAATTTCCTGACTCACATATTTTATAAAACACCTGAACTCACCGTTTGTTATTTCTCTTTTCTTTTTTATGGCTTAATGAGAGCAGGGGGCAGGGCTTTAGGGTGGCAAAGCCATTCTCAAGCCATTCCAGGCTCATTCATGAGCTAATGTAATTGTAGTGTAATTCAATGCACATTCAATCCAAGTCTAACACTACCTGCTGCGTTCCATCTTCCTGAGTTACTAAGGCCACTTGCTGCTGACCAGCGACCTCCGACGCCTCCACAGGGACCGCTTCTGAGCCAGGCTCGTCTGCTCCAACCACAGTCGTTGTGTAGTTCACATTTGGATCATCAATGGCATCTGAAATATCATTGGAGTTCTATCAATCTGTAGTTGATTAACTTCCTGCCGTTGCTGAAGCTGCAGAGGCCACAGACCTGCTGGCGGCTCGAAGTAGGCCTCCTGCTCCTCCTCGATGGGCTCGGTGTCGTTGTGTGCCGTGCGTTTATGCATGGCGAGCGTGGAGATCTGCTTGTAGGTTTTGCCGCAGTGGTTGCAGTTGTATGGTTTGCAGGGCGTGTGGACGACATGGTGTTTATAAAGGCTGGAGTATTCTGTGAAGCGCTTCTCACACCCTGGCACGGTGCAAACGTAGGGCTTCTCTCCTGCAGGGAACAAATGACCCAAAAAAAGAACATAAAGACGACGTTAAAGAAGAAAAATCCATGCAGACACGTTTCTGAGCTCTCAGTGGAGTCTGAACTGACCTGTGTGAATCCTCATATGGTTCTTGTAATTAGTGGCGCTGGCGAACGAGCGTCCGCAGGTGGGCTCGGAGCAGTAGTACGGCCGCTCTCCAGTGTGTGTTCGGATATGAACTTTGCGGATGTTGGACGTGGTGAACGACCTGCCGCAGCCTTCCACCGGGCACTTAAAGGGCTTCTCTCCTGCAATCAAAGAAGGAAAACTAAGCCTCCATTACATAAAAAAGACAGAAGAATGAAGCCTTAATGGATATTAAAAGTGAATCTTTGATTCCTAGTTGGTGGATACTTTAAATTTGAATTTCAACCGTTTCATCTGGCATCAGGTTAATCATAACAGCCACGTGTCGTCGCCTCGAGCACATTATGTGCTTGTGTGTGTGAAGTTTAAAACAACCCCTCCTGTTGTTCATAGCCTCGCCATTTTAAAAAGCTTTTGCATATAAATAACCAGAGGCAGTTATTTATTTTTTCATCTTTCCACCACATGCCCCATTTGTACTAGAATAAAGTCTTGTGGCAAAGCTTAAAATTTCAACAGCTGATTTCATTCACTTCCAGAGCGGTACTGAAGAACCGGTGTCAACCAGAATTGGATTCATTTGAACTCCATGGTCCTTGAGAGCTGACCAGGCAGAGATGAATCTAAATAAAAAGTTCATTTTCTCCTTAGAAGCTAACAGACCTCTCCTAAGTCCTTTCAAATATTTTTGAATAACACTCCTTTCTGAATGTTCATCAGATTTGATCTGTTCCCTACAGCTTTGGATCAACTGAAAGATCCTGAGAAAGACCGAAGGGTTAAGATCGATCACCGCTGCAGCACAGAGCGCAGGGACTGTTTATCCTCCAATATCACCATAGATAAAGGTTTGCAGCTCAGAGATCTGGTTTGTGAGGTTAAAGCTGCTTCCCTTTGAATCGTTGATCCAAGCAACGATACCTTAGTTCTCACACTACCTCTTTTCTCAGCCAGTCAACAGCAAGGATAGAGCAGGGACTCTGATGTCTCTCAAAGCTCTCCTACCTCTTCTTCCTCCTTTCAGCCTTCAACTCTAAAGATAAGCCAAAAAACTGCTTTGACACGCTGCCCAATCAGGAGTTTGCACCCCGATATCTTTTCGATATGTCTGAAGTAATTTTGCTGCAGAAATTAGTTGTAAAATACAGAATCGTTGACGGGAAATTCCGCCATTTTCAGTAAGGTGGAAATAGATATGCTAACTGCTGACATTAGATGCTGCAATGATATGTAGTATATAAGTATATTTAAAAAACATTTATTTGTTTTTGTTTCCCGTCTTAAAGCTGTTAAATGTTGCCTCAAGTTAAAATAGTATGTCACTTCAGGAATTTTTGGAGTTCTCTCCAGTGCATTTCAGCCCTCAAATATGTCCCCGCTATGCTGAAATTTAGGTGGGATGTTCATGCTTTGAATTGTCCACAGGACACCGAAATTAGGCCGATACCCCGAATTTTACTAAGTCCAACGGCCACAAAAACAATGTTTTTGAACACATCTGCTTCCATATTTGCACCTTTATGCAAGAAAAGTGTTAGATGATGAAAACTGCCCCATTCAGAGCTGCCATCAACCCTGAGAGCTTGCTAGCAGGGAAACACATGAGCCAACGCTTCGCCAGTAGACAGAACCAGTTTGAAAGCAACCATGTTCAGAAGGATTCCCTAACTGCCGCTCTGTCAAGCCGAACCGAGACACGGACAGAGGGGGGGTTTTTTTCTACCCGATAAATCACAGCATTGCTGTGCCTGTGTGTGGATCAAAGCAGCATCTCTGGGTCGATCTGATCATTTGCATATAAAGTAGAGGTATGAACGTCACCTCCACCATGGAGGAATGATTGAAAGAAAAAGGAGCAGGATGCATTAGAGCACCCCCAGCCCTACAATACAAAATCATGGTGATAACCCTGGGAAATATAAAAAATATATATTTAACTGTTGTTCTTCCATTGTAATTTTTAAGGAGAAATCAAAATGAACCAAGTCTGTGCATAGGAGGCTCACAATATAAAGAAAAAAAACAGAACAGAAATCAGATCAAATTAGTTAGTCAAAGGTCAATTTATGATTCTGACGCATAGCCTCTGCAACCGTCAAATCTGTCTCTGTACACCTCAAAAAAATCCTGACAAACCTGCACAGACGTCAAGCGGAAATGCGCAGACAAAAAGCAGCTGTGATTGATCCTTGGTATGCCTTTCCGGCTGTCCGTGTGGTCGTCCTTCTCGATTCGGTGCCGGGGTGCACCATTTTTAAAAACCGAGGAACAAATACAATGGACAACTACGACGAAAGGTTAATTGGTCTTTATGCCAACTCCATTAACAGAACCTGTTCCTCTTCGATGTCTAGCAACTCTAGATCCATTTCCATGACCGTGATATCTTGCGGACGCACCATGGTTGTTTTGGAAGATAAACACTCCTGCCGGCGCCGCAGAAGTTCTCATGACCATCCACCGAACTTCTCGCGAGTTCTCGAATAGGCTCCCCCTTGCGCTTTGGTGGGAAACAGCTGTGCGTCCCTAGAAATTCCAGACCGAAGGTGCAGAAGCATACCAGCAAAACTAGTTTGCGACCAGACCCAAGTGACATTTGATGTGTGCGGTTGCAGAAGTATAATCTGCCCTTAATTCTTAGAAAATACAATCAGCCCCTTTATGTACCTTTAATTTTCAACTGTACCTGTGTGAGTCCTGGTGTGCTTCTGAAGGTCTCCAGAGGTCTTAAAGGACTTGCAGCAGTTGATCTCCAGACATCTGTATGGTTTTTCCCCAGTATGCGTCCGAGAGTGACTCTTCAGTCCGTAACCTTGCATTCACACAAACACCGTTGAGTCAGGGAGGCTTTCATTCCACCCCCCAACATTTGTTAAACTCATGCTAGTAGCTATCAAAGACTTTTCAGGACTTGAATATAAAACGTAATGTTAAATAAATAAAACATCACTGTGATTTAACGGCAGCTACCTGTAGCAAACTTCTTTCCACAGCCCCGATAATCGCAGACGTATGGTTTGTCGCCGGTGTGCGAGCGCTCGTGTACCTGCCAGATGTGAACGCAAAGCTAAGTAAGTTTTCCACAAAAATGTTCAATTCTGAAATAATAAACATGATTAGCAACAAACAAAAGAGAAGTAGGAACATTATTGATGTGAAAATATGCCTTCAGTTGGCAGAAGAAGAGCAGAACTAGACCTTGAGGTGGTGAGCTGTGGTGTAGAGCTTCCCACAGCCTTCATATTCACAGCGGAAAGATTTCTCTCCAACATTTGTCACTCGAAGCTGCCTGTTGTCTTGACCTTGTAGAACAATCTGAACAATAATCCACAGTCTAAACGTCTGATTTCAATCAAAGGGGTTAAAAGAAAACAGGAAACGACATCTCACCCTCATGTGGACACCGCCGTCTGCTTCCACTCTCCCATAAGACCCCAAAGGGTTTTCAACATTCTCTACCTGAGGAGGAAAAATAGGACATTTCTTTAATGAAGGAGCTGAAGACAGCGACACAAACGGCAGCAAAGTTATCTCTTCTGTCACCTTGGTGCTGTACTGTTCAAGCACGCTGATGGTTTCTGGGTCGATGGCTGTACCGTCAGCTTGGAGGTCAGCGATGGTGCCGTCAGCCTGGATGGCCAGGATGGTGTTGGGCTGAGGCATGTGCACCGTGTGCTGGATGTAGGCCGTGCTTCCATCCTCTAGCTGGACCTCCTGCAGGCCATTCTGGTCGTAGGTTTCTAGGAGAGGGAGGAGCGGATTAAAAAGCTAAATGAGGAAGATCACAACAGACTGGAGTAAAATAACAATCGGCTAATAAATGCCAATTATTATGATGCTCATGTCTTATTGTTACGACAGCAGTCATGTTTCCATCAGAATAAAATGCGAGTTTAGCTAAATATTGAAATTAGTGCATATTTAGCGAGTTTGCTAAATATGCAAATTTGCATTATTTCCATTTGGTTTAAAGTAAATGATCAAAGTGATGTTGAAATAAAGTGCGTGCCTGTATTGAACAGGAAGTAGATGTGGCAATCTAGCACTGACCACAGATCAGTAATGGAGGAATGTTTTAATTAATGTGTTGGGATTTGGTAAGTTGTTCTTAAGTCAACATGTCAGCTAGTAATAATAGGAACATCCAGGAAGATGCTGATCGGTCATGTGAGGTAAAAGTTCGCTACGTCAGAGCTGATTCGAAAAGAGTGTTTCAAATCACTTCAAGCAAGCATAAAACTTATTTTACCATATGAATTTGAGGGAGTATTTTTATTTTTCCATTTCCATAAAGCTTTTCTGATGCAATACTTCATTAGGAAAAGCTAAAACTAGCATATTTAGCCAGAAACAAGAGTATGATTTCAGGATTATCATACTGGCGCCTCAGAGAGAGTATGCAAGCATCACTGATTAGTGTCATTTGGTGTGATTAGCCATAACCAGTTTTTCTGAGGCCAAACATTGAAACTAACAATTAAACAATATCAAAAATGTTTTATTTTCCTAAAGAATCTTTAGATTTAGTGAAAATAATCTTATTTTAACACCACATATCAGCACATGTTCTCAAGTAGCCATTATAGAACCGACTACAGATTATAATTTTTCACATTTAAAAAGCATTTTAACAAAAATACAAAAGCAGCTAAAAAAAAAAAAAAAGGACTGAGGAAATTCTTGCGAAAAAAATATACTTTAAAAAGGACCCATAATCTGTAAGATCTACTTAAACACCTTTAGTTTTTTTTAATACTTTTTTTTCATGCATTTCTGAGGATATTGTGCAGCTTTTATGACTGAAGATGAACACAATCTACCGCTGTTGGATCTATCTAAGCATATCTTGTTGATTTAACATTACTTTTTCATCTACTTAGAGAACATACAGATGCGACAGATACATGATATGAAAAATGTGTGCATTAGTGTGCTCCGTTTAACTCTTTTATACCTAAATTAAGTTTATTTGCAACAGCAGGTATGCTAAAACTGAAAATTAGACATGAAGTCACAAAGGCAAACACAAATGTGCCATTATTGTGTTATTTTTCCAAATAAGAGACGGATGGGACTAGATGTTCAAGAACTAATCTAAATGATTGTGATGAGAAAGATTTATTTTCCTGAAATTATATTTGGTTGCTGTGTGTTAACCACACATGAACTAATGTCCTCACTCACCTGCTGGACTTAAAGAATGCACATCCTTTGAGGTTAGCTTTTACCTAAAACCTGAGTTTCAACTCACACAGTTTTTAAAGGAGGTGAATCTGGTTTAAATGATCACAACACTATAGATCGCTACCAAAGCAAAGGTTGGTATGCAACCAATGTCCACTATTGAATAAAACCATCCCTACTGCAACAGTATAATGTTTCCCAAATAAAAAACCCTGTGATCTAAAGGAACTGCTTAAATAATAATAAATAAAAAAATAGCCTCTGGGAAGGGAGACAGGGAATTATTGAGGAGTAAACAGAAGCAACTTTAGGTTACAACATTTAATTTCCATTTGTGATTAATAATGTTTTTTTAACCGAATGTCCCAAGAAGAAAACAGCTCCATCTGTCTAGTGAAGCTAGTGTTTACCTTTGGGAGTATGAATGTAGGCAGTCGTTCCATCCTCTAACTGAACAGCCTGCCCGTCTTCCAGCTGTAAACTGTCTCCGCCTGCAGCATAAAGCAGACGGTTAAACCAAGCCACCGAAAAAATAACACTTCCCACAAAACAGAATAAATATCTGGTTTCAATTCATATCATTACAGTGCAACCTTTATCTGAGAGGGAAGAGGATGCCGGGGGTCACACTGTACCTGCTTTAGGCACGGACACATGCTGCACATAGGCAGCCGAGCCGTCCTCTAGCTGGATCACCTGACCGTCCATGATCTGTCCGTCAGAGAAGGACGCTTTGGATTCATGCTGGATGTATGCTGTGGAACCATCTGAAAGAGTAACAGCCTGCAGGCTCACTGTGTCCATGTTCTCAATCTGGTCACCATCTGGGAAGTTAGAAGACAAAGGTAACTCCAACTCTTCTGATCTAACGGGTATAAGGGAACTGGTTTCAAGAACAAATGTTTAAGATGTTATAAAACCATAGATCTACAACCACTAGAAGTTAGGAGAACTCACCTGCCACCGTCACAGCCTCTGCCAGGCAGAGTGTAACTGGCTGCCCATCTGCATCATGAAACTCTGACATTCCCTGGGAGTCCCGGTTTATCTGGGCCAAGAGCATGCTTTAGCTGCTGAAGGGATGAAAACATAGCCGATTTAACCCTGTTGCTGAGCTAACAGCTCAGCTAACACACAGGAGCACAGGAAGCAGACTAAAAACCACGACCAACCGATTCATCTTTCACACCTGTGTTCAACTCGCACATGAAATTTCTGCCTGCTTCATGTAGCTTCTTATCTTACAAACCATATATCCTGTGGTGAAACTCAGAGTACATACATTTTGGAGCGTCAATCTGTGATATATATTGAAATACAAAATGTCATTTCAGCATCATAAAATAAAAGCGTATTGTAATGTTTATGGAGCTCATTATCATCCAGCAAATGTTGCAACTAACAATTATCTTGCAAATCGATTAATCTGTCAATTATTTTTTCAATTAAACGGTAACAATGGGGTAGCCAAAGATTCCTTAAAGAAGACTTTTTACAAAATGAATCAGGTAGAATGCAAACTTTCCACTTGTGAAATTCTGGATTATATATATATATATATATATATATATATAAAGACTTGTCTTAGTCTCTATACTCCAGTTAACAATTAATCGATTGCTAAATTAGTTGACGATTATTTCAATACTCGATTAATCACGATCAGCCTTGTGTGTTGTTCAGCATGGGGGTGAGTAGAAAATGAAGGCTAATCATGTTTTGGGTGTACTATTCCTTTAACAATTTCAAAAGAACCTAAAAGGGGAAAAAAAGAACAGTTGCAAAAAAAATAAAATAAATAAATAAATCAGATTTTATTACAAACTGTAGTTCTGCTGTCCACCAGTAGGTGGTGACATGTTCACATGAAGCCTCATGAACTGTGGGGATTGTTGAAGCAATTTGGCCAAACAGTTCAATGCCTTATGAGGCTTCATCTCACCATCACTAGTAAAAAGGGACACACACACTCCCTATTTTTAATGTTAAGCTTTTTCTGGAAATTTGCCATGTCCTTTGACCAGGGGATTTCCTTCATATTGGATCAATTTCCTCTATTGTTTGTAGGAATAATGCAAATCAAACTTTTGATGGTTTTCTTTCAAAAGACTATTTTTCCAAGTATTTCATAATTTGTCTCATAAAACAATCCTCCATAGTAACCAAAGGGTCTTTTGGCTGCTTGATGCAATTCTTGTCTAGTCTGTTCGTTCAGGTGGGGGCGATGCAAACTAACAACCCAGGCTAAAAGTGCCACAAAAAAAAACGCTAATGTATGAACAAATATGTCTGTGAAGTAGATATTGTTTTCCATCAAAGGGATACCTAACATTTGTGATTGCAAGAGTTTTATCTATCCAGACTGGAGGCATTTTTTGTATAGAAAAGATTGCAGACCTCTGGTTTGAGTGCACAGCTGATTTTAAATAGGAATGTTGTCACGCCATACAATGGTTAGAACGATGCTTTTGGGGATTTGAAACGTGGGACATTATTCCCCCCAGTGAGATCTAGAAGCCATTCAGCAAAGCTACTGCTATGTAGAGGAGTACACATAATTTTGGCATAGAAAGAAAAATTGAGTTCTTACATATTTTAGCTTTTTACGTACTGTAAATTACACCAAAAAAGAGAAAAATTTAATAAGTGAAAACTATTTGAAAACTTAAAAAGTTTGTATCAGCTCTAATGCTGTTTTGTTGTCAGAAAAAGGGTTATTTCACTTTGTTTTGTTTTTTGTTACGTACTTAATCTTTTTTTCACTTATAAGGGCAAGTGACCTTTTATTACATGACATTATGACATTGATCTATGCCATTGATAATTCATTTTTAAATGTTACAAAAAAATTATTTCTAAATGTTACAAAACTAAGGTCATGTCCTGTCATTCAACAACACTCGTGGCTTAAAATTATTGATTTTCACAGTATTTCATAGAATGCCCCAGTAAAGGTTAAAAACAGAGTTAATGTTATGTGTCAACATGTGATAAAGTTCAAGGAGTAGGATTATTTGTCCAAGGTATTAAACATCATACTGCTGCATTATTACATATTTGTTTGAGTACGTTAAAATTCTTCCTTGTACGGAAGAGGATTAGGGCCACTGAAAAAAATAAAAAGTTAACAGATTTTTATATATTATTTCAGTTAATATGGGAAAAAAGTCAGAATTCTGACCTTTTTTTCCTCAGAATTTTGACAGCTAACACACGTGTTAGCATTAAGCCGTAGCCATGTCTGTTTTAGAGACTAGCTCTCTTGTTTTAATCACCTTCTGCTCTTCCATTCATGAAATAGCATCACCGGAGAACCCTCAGGCACTTAAAAAGTTGCCTAATTTCGTCAGTTTTCACCAATGTGTTACTGACCCTCCCAAAACAACTCACATCTTTCAGTGAAGCTGAGTGCTCCCACGTATCTTCCTTCATGGTGCCCATCTACATTAAGATCCAAAATTCTGAGATTAAACTCAGAATTCTGACTTTTTTTCTCATATTATAATGAAATGAAATTTAAAAATGAGTTAACTTTTTATTGTTTTTTTCAATGGCCCTAATCCTCTTCCGTATCCTTGCCATTACATATACACGCAGGAATCTCATTTCATTCAAGGGCAGAGCTGGAAATGGGGGCCCCTTAGCCAATCACTGGCCACCCCTACAATTTTTCCCCCTCTAATACAGATGGTGGCAGCAGTTATACTCTCAAGTGGAATATTCAAAAACATTTTTTTTGTGGTTAATTATGCACATCAATACAGAAGAGTACAGAATTCATGCTATTTTCAGAACTAGATTTTGTGTTATATGAGGTAAAGAGAAAAGGATGTGTCCCTGCAAGTCATCTAGGAGTCTTCAGTGAAATCAAAGATAACAATTTTAATAAAAACCTTTCAAATAATCAATTTATGTAGATATTAGTGCTTGCAAATATAAATTCTATGCATAACGTTTGATACAAGTAGGTAAGTAATGACGATGGAAAAGATTTATGCCACAGAACTCAAAACTGAGTTTTATCCACTATATCCTTTATCTTGAAATTACAGATGTTTAAATATATGCGTTTATTTGTTAGCAAAGGCTGTAGGAAAGTATAGGTAGTCTTTATTTAGAAAATATGGGTGTTTTGCTAGTAAATTTTTATGTTGGAACAGTGGAGATTGACCAAGTCTACATTGGTTATTGCCTGGCCACCCTTAAAAGAAATTTCTGGCAACGCCTCTGATTTCATTAAAATAATGATACTCTAGATCAGCTAGTCTAAATCCAATGTGAGTATTTGTTAAACGTTTTCCAGCACTTAGGAGATAAGGTTAATATTCTAAAATATGATCAACATATCCTTTTCTTTATTCAAGACATTTAAAATCAGTTAATATTATCCAAACTGAATGGAAACATCTCTTAGGTTCTCTGTTACCCTTCATAATCATTTTCTGGGATGAAGGTGTCTTGCTGCATTGCGGGGATGATACATAAATACATAATAAAATAGACTAAACGTATGCAGAAAAAAATAAACAAATCTGGGACAACAGAAGAAGGGAAAAACGGTGCAGCATAATCAGTCATACTGTCCTGGTTTGGCGCTTGTTTAGTTCTTATACTGAAGTCAGCTGTTAGCTAACCTCGGCTACAACTATGATTTTGCACAATTCCCTTTTAAAAGAACGCCTAAACGAAAAAAAAACTATCCAAAATGTGTATGATTCGGCAGATACTACTCGAACACCACATGACCACCCTATACTAAATAGTCATTTAGAGACTGTTGGCCGCAGGACAGATACAGTATGTCAAACGGAATAAGCTAACGGCCAGTTAGCCGTTGAGCTAACGCAGCAGCTAAATACGCCAAGCGGTGCCGTCACGATGTTTTTCACGATTTGAGAGCAAATGTTTCCTGCAGGGCTGCGGTCGCCCGGGTCGCTTTTATTTTTGTCTTTAACCAAGCTGCTTCCTATCGTCTAAAACTAAAATGTTAAACAGCTAGAGTGAAGCTAGCGCTCCACAACAAGCTTCCAGACAAGTTTGACTAACTAAAAACAAGACCCAGGAATTCAGGAGCTAATTCATGATATAAGCACGTTTCATTCGCTACAAGTCTTTTTTCCGTTTCTAAACATTTCCTCCGTCTCCATTCTAATTCCCTTCCCGTAACCTGTCACTCCCACTAGCACCAGAGATGGCTGTGGGAATAATGCACACTGGGTAAAAACCAATTTATATACTAACCTCTGAAAATTTCCAACAATTCCTCCTGTTCGACCACCATGCAACAGTGCAGGAAACGACTAGCGACGTTCACTGACCAGGAACATGTATGGGAAAAGCAAACTTTCCGGTGCTGTCCCGCCTATTTTTTCTACCACGATATGTGATTGGTCAGTTGTTTTGTTAAATCGATTCTTATTGGTCCGAGGAGGTGTCGCTCCGTTTAGGGGCTAAGAATTCAGGCTCCCGGGCCCCTTGCAGACGCCATTCCGCGCCGGTTTTCGTATTGTTTTCAGCTTTCTTGAGCAACTATGCTGCGTCGTCGTGAAAAAAAAATATTTAAACCATCTAGAAAGAGTGCGGATAACAGCCTATGTGAATCCATTGTGACTTTGGGCCAAAACCGAAGGTTACAATGCTCTTGTTTTGAAGCATAAACATGGGCGTGTGTGCAGGTTTATCGGCATCCATGTTGAAAACAAGGTCGTGTGGGAAAGAGAGGGGGAATGTGGGCAATGCAGTGAAAAGAGGCTCAGTGGGATTATATTTCACATTGAGTTGACGCATAGCAATAAACGGAGTCTGAAAGCTCACTCATTAAATATGTTTAAATGATAAAAAAAAAAAAAGTATGGTGCGAAACATTGTTTGCATATAATGTCAAAAATTTAGCTGCAGCAGCTAAACTACAAATACAGTTGCAGAGCTCTTGTGGACGGAATTGTGAATGTAATATGTATTCCTATTGTATTTTGATAAAATAATTTTCTGAAAAAATGGTTTACAATTAAACAATAACTAAAACCATGGATGAATAGACTTATAATGGATGGATGAGGGATAGATGGATAAATGGATTGATGATGGATGGAAGAGTGGACAATGGATGGATGGATGATAGATGGGTGGATGGATGGATGCTGGATGGATGATGGAGGGATGATGGATGGATGGATGGATGATTGATTGATGGGTGGATGATGGATGGATGATGGATGGATGGATGGATAGACTTATATTGGATGGATGAGGGATGGATGGATGGATGGATGGATGGATGGATAGACTTATATTGGATGGATGAGGGATGGATGGATAAATGGATTGATGATGGATGGAAGAGTGGACAATGGATGGATGGATGATAGATGGGTGGATGGATGGATGCTGGATGGATGATGGAGGGATGATGGATGGATGGATGGATGATTGATTGATGGGTGGATGATGGATGGATGATGGATGGATGGATGGATGGATGGCTGGATGGATGAAATGATTTTGGGTTAAGAGGACCTTCCATGTTAACAAATGTGTTCAACTCATCATATGTATGTACAACAATTATATAGTATGAATTATTTAATGATAGCATTCTGAGTTGCAAATAGTTTGTTGTTGAAAGGGTTTATTTTGAAGGTTCAGAGCATAAATCCCATCTTATACTGTCTGACTTCACTGCCTGTCACGATGGAGAGTATTATCCCTCCTCCTCTACAAGACGTCATGCTTTGGGGTTTCCTTGTCTCGGCAGCAGGCAGAAGGAGAACAGGAGGAAGAGCTCACACACACAAACACAGCTGCCTGTTTCCTCAAAACCAGGCTCCATCATGTTTACAGGGATGCGGGCGGAAAACCGGAGCAGCTCTGATGTCCTAGATGCTGCGGCACTGAGGCAGCAGAGGAGGCTGAAACAAGCCATCCAGTTCCTACACAGGGACTCTGCTGATCTGCTGCCTCTGGATGGAATGAAGAAACTCGGGACATCCAAGCAGGGAGTGCGTCTCTTTTCTTAGACCTCGAACTATATCTGACCTAATTAGATCTCTTCCTCTTATTCATTTGGGGGTTTGTGCAATTAGGAGTAGAATAGTCTTTATATTTAAATTATAAAGGTCTACATTATATCATTTGACATGCTTAAGCATATTTAAAAAAACAAGCTATAAGCCAAAGGGCCACATCGGAACATAGGTTTCTAATATTAAGGTTTATTTAATTACCGTATAAGCGTGTTCTCTTGCGTTCTGTGACTGTGCCCTATTCTCTATGCTGCAGCAGCCACACAATATTCTCCAGAGGAGGCTTCTGGAGGCCAAGCTATCCCAGGGCAGGATGGACACACACAGCGTGACCCCAAACAGCAGAGGGGTTCATCAGCTGAGCTGCCGGCAGTTCTCTAACGAGGATGAAGAGGGCGAAGATTTAATCTGTGTAGCTTGTAAAGTGGGTGGAATTCTGTATCCGTAAAAGAATGCATGTTTTCACTCCCCTGTAGCTTTTTTCACCTTAGAGCCACAAACTCTGAAGTATATCATGAGGATTCAGAGTGTCAGAATAACAAAAAGGAATGAAGTCAGATTGTGTGTGCTATTGGATCACAGTATAAATCTGGTTGTTCTCTGAGGGCTAAAAAGGTCTGACAAGGATCATCAGTGAAATTCAGCATCACAAACGCAGAAGATGACAGTTAGCAATTCAGAGAATAAGTAGTGTGGAAGTCAAAGGCAGGGTTAGAATATAAAATTGTTTTGCCAATCCCAGAAATTATTCTTTAATCTATATTCTGAAAATAGAAACGGCAGACATACTGTAGGAGCCTGCAGGACAGGGATGTCCACCTAGAGGCACAAGCCCTCTTTGTTATCAGGGAACCAAGCCACAGATGAACCGTGCCGAGCCTTACTATTGATCTAGTACTGGGATTTTTTTCTTTAGCAGAAAGAACGATTTGAAAGATGGATGGAGCTTAGTACAAAGGCTATGAAAGACTTGAGAAAAGAAAGGAGGTTTAATTTCCAGCAGGACAATGATTGGAAACGTACATTAAAAACACCAAAGTATTGGCTTATATCAGGGGTCGAGGGTCGAGACACCCCAGCAGGGATGTTAAACACCAATCGAGGGTCATGACATTAATTTCATAATCATTCTAATATCTCTAAGCAGTACAGAGGGCCAAAATTTATCTTTAAATACACATATTTGAATGTTGCATGAAATATGCAGACACTACTTTTTTGATGGTAAATTTTTTATCACTATTGATTGACAATGTTGCAGTAAATATACCACTCAATTATAAAATGAACTATTTATTATCAAACGTGTTGTTAAATAATTACAAATAGATTTAATTTGAGCAATTTCATATGACTTTAGAAAATAAATGTATAAACCAGTTTAATTATTTCACTGTATATTTTTATATAAATAGGTAGAGATAATTCTATGCAAATTTAGGAGGTCGCCAATCTGTTTTATTTATGTGGACATTGGATGAAAAGTTTGGGATCCCCTGGGCTTAAATCGAAGACTAAGAAGCACTAATCCATTTTTTTGCAATCCAATCCGATACGATACATGGGCAGAGCCTATTGGCCGATATCCGATATAGATCCGATACTACTGTTGAACGAATTAACCATGTGAGTAAAGGCATCATCCTTGAAATAAAGTATGCCCATGTGTTAGATCAAGGTTCACAGATGTGGTGATCTTTTTTTATTAAACAGAAGGGGTTGTGGGTTTGAATCCATGCTGGTGGTCTTTCTGCATGAGTTTAAAGTGGGATTATTTTCATCTTAAATGTTTATTTCAATGTGTAACCAAATATAACATTGCAATCCATATATATTTTTAAATAGCTGAAACGGGCCTTTTATTCCATAAATTTTTTATTTCTTTTTTTTCTGTCACTAAACCTTTTTCCACTCGTCTTACTGCAGTGATCATTGCCTCTTGTCTCACAGCCATTTTGTCCTTGTTACAGTGTTTTGGACAGGAAGTCACATTGCTGATTGACACGGGCTGCAGGATGAACTTGATGTCTTCAGTGACTGTGGACAGATTAGGGTAAGTGGAACTCACCCACTCATTGTCATAAAAACCAGTGGAAAGTCTTGTCTTAATTCTCTATCTCTTAAAGACTGAAACTGCTGGTTGAGGAGAATAAAACGGACCCAGACTGGTTTCCATTTCAGCGCAAACTTTGCATCGATGGATTCATCAAGGAGCTCAGCCTGACCATTGGAGGCCTCCAAATTATGTCTTCATTCTTTATAGTAGGTGAGGAAAATAACAAGGAAGAGAAAGAAAACCAAATATTGTTGTATATAACCCTGTAATAAGGTTTTCCACTTGTTACATGTGTTTACAGAAAGCACCAAACCACTCATGACCCTGGGCAGCAGGACTTTAAAATACCTCAAGGTGAGTTATTACCATTTACTCTTGATTTACTTTCAGTCTTGGTGGGGTTTTAAGGAGCTTATGAATGGCTCACCCCATCTGTTGCCTTTGGTCACAATATAATGTGTACTTTCTATATGATTTAGTTCTGGGAAATGAGATAAAGGTTTAACAAGGTTGATTAGGTTTCCGATGAAAGCCGTTTGTTTGTTTGGGATCATTATCCTGATATGGGAAAGATCCAGTGAAGATCTATGGCCCCCAGCATCATGGGTCTTGCAATGTACTTGAAAATATGCATCCATAAGAGTCTTGTAGCCTGATCTTCAGAAAGATTGTCTTCAAACAGGTGCAAGCGTATTGTTTTTATGGAGAGCGCAGATCTTTAAAGATGGTGCAAAGGGATTTGCTTTGTCAAATCTAGATAGCCTGCTCAAACTGTTTCTTTTTTAAATTTTTTAGCCTGCATACCTTTGTGTATACAGATCATACTCTAAAAAACAACCGTGCAAATTAATGGATGGCGGATATGCAAATGTAAGAATTTACTAAATGATTTTACAAATCAAATTAACTGCAGATGCAGTTTTTGTATCTTTTTTTAATACTTCTAAAAATGGGTGCAAAAACATCTGCGGTTATTGTTGCAACAAAACAGACATTGGTACAATGCAAAAAGAAGAAGAGATATTCTGTATGAATATGTACAGAATGTCATATAAATATAGTTGGACGGTCAGAAATAACAATAGTAGAATATATATTGATAAATAAAAATTTATACAGGCACAAATCAATACAAGGGCACAGCAGGAAATCTTTATACAGTCAAACCCAATCGAAAAAGATAGACTTTAATGGTTAATATAATAAAACTGATAGTGAAACATACAATCTGCTCATTTTAATAAGGTGAACAAGGTTTGCACGTCTTAACACAGCAAGCCGCAACACATCCCCTTATTGCATGTAGTAAAAGAGCAAAAGTATTTGAATCCCTGGAATCAGATCAGAACTTTTGTTACCAAGGTTGATCAGAAAACCCTTTTTTTTTTCACAATGTGCCTTCTAAACTCTCTTGTTTCCCGTATAGAGACTGGGTAACTATAGCATACCATTCTTTGCTGCAGTTGTCTAAAAGAGCATTTGGAGCATTAGAGATTTTTTGTATTATCCTACTAACTTTGCAAGTTAACAAAAGAAACATAAAAAAAACATCTAGTTGTTTTCTGAAGTTTTCCTTGTTTTAGATAGGCAGGTTTAGACAAAAAAATTTTGGTTTAATAAATAGTTTGATCTCTTTTCTTAACCATTTTGCTAACTGGAAATAGAAACCAGGCCTCAGTGTGTCAACTGGCCAGATTTACACCAGAGAAGCTGAAAATTGTGGATAAAAAAGTGAGAAATCCATTCCCTATGAATATTCACGTATAAATCACAAATACACTTGGTTTACATTTATACTGCATTAAATGTGCCAGACATTGATTTTCAGATGAAACAGTTATTCTTGACTGTAATACTTTTCCTGCCACAATGACAAATATGCTAAAACAGCTGCTAAAATGAGCATTTGGAGTTTCTCCAAGTTTGTATATGCCTTGAGCAAAAAGAACATAATCCAGTTGATTATAATAAAATAAGGCTTCCTCCTTATAGTCTTTTGATCCTCCTTTTTGAGCCAAAAAAAGACCCTCGGCGCCCTTTACCAACAAATTGAGCAAAAACTATAGGGATTCTGTGAATTGTCATAAAAACATTCTATGAAACCAGTGAGTTACTGGATTACTTTTAAAAATGTCCGATAACATGACTAAGAACCTTTTAACACAGAGGTATTCAATGTTTTCCAGGTCAAGGACCCAAACTGATGGTAAAATGGAGCGGGCACCCTCTAATTATATCTATTTTATGAAATTGTGTTATATCAAACTGGTCCTATAGTTACTCTAGTACAGATGGAGTAATGAAACCCTTGGATTATTAAAGTATTTCTGATTCTGATTCCTGGTTGATGGGACAGGTGTTATGAACGAAACGGTGCCCATCGTGAAAGAGCTTCTGTGTGTCGCTGAATGTGTGCATTGATGACTGAAAGACATCTTCTGCCTCCATTTATCTGTTTACTACAGTGTGTTGAATTCATGTTAATGTGTATTTAAAGACATTTCAATTAGTGAAAAAAAAAAAGTCTAATCAACCAAAAACTTTTGTGACCCCCATGCAGTAGGTCCTTGGACCCTCAAGGGGTCGCGGACCCCCTGTTGAAGACCTCCTTTTTAACACATTATGCTGGGTCCCAGTGAACGGGGAGTCTTAGAAACATACACAGAAAGCAGAGGCTGATATATGAAATAGTTCACTGTAGGCTTTGCCATGACTTACTTTGTTATAGCTGCTGTTCTTGTTGCAGTGTGTAATCGATACAGAGAGGCAGATGTTGGTGTTTGGGAGAAACACAAGGGAGCAGGTTGACTTTATTAAGATGCATCCAAGTGAAAGGTAAGACAGTCTCTATTTTTCTTTTGTTTTTAATTTTTTACAGTTTAGGCCAAGACTCCATGTTATCATATATACCTCAGCTCATTTTTACACACATATGATGGGTATAAAGAAAATTTAAAAAGCAAAATTTACATACGTAGGTACTAAGATTTGATTTTAATCCTATTGTACAGTACTGGAGTATGTTTTTATATATTATATATTTTTATATATTTTTATTTAATATTAAATAAAGGAAAGTATTTAATTCAGTTTTCACCAAAACAAATATAACGTGTTAAATTTAATCTATTTTTATTTTGTAGGAGGTCTTAAATCAAACTAACAGACATCTTTTGTGCCTCTCCTTCTTTTTCAGTGACCCGGATTTTTAATCTTCTTGGTTTACCCCCAACACAGACTGGTCCAAAGAGCGGGAAGTCAAACTTTAACCTTAACCTATACATTCAATATTGCTGACCTCAAATAAAATAAAAAAAGGTTTTACCTTTAAAAAAAAATCTTTAGGTATTTTTAATTTCCATAAATTATTGACAAATTTTGGGACACATGAACTCCTTCAAAATGTGTTGGAGGGTAGATCAGGTACTAACTACTATAGCTCTACTAGACCTTTTCCTTTTCTCTCTGCCTTTCTTTCATTCTAGCAGCTGATAAATAAGGACCCCTTGTATCACGGAGCCCTGAAAAGTTTAGGCAGAGATTTAAAAGTAGAAAATGCAGCACTAAATACTGTTTGTAGCCATTTTTACTAACAGTGTTTACCTATCTTTGTCTACTAAAACTGAATAAGGGAAGTTCAGCCTAGTGGTTAGTGCATAGAGCTTGGAATCCTGAGGTTCTAAGTTTGAGGCCCACTCCCACAGACTGCCACTCTGGGTCTCTGAGCAACGACCCTTAAACCCAAACTGCTCCTTGGGTGCTGCACAATGACAGCCCACTGCTCCCCAAGGGGATGGATTAAACTCAGAAGTTAATTTCTCCAATGTGAGATCAATAAAGCTCAGTTATTATTTAATTATTACCTTGATTACGTGGCATACCGGTTGGAATAATCCACTGGTTTTCAAAGTTGAACCTGGAAAACAGTCACATATGGATAAAAATCCTGATATTCCTAGCAGGGAATTTACCTATGAATTAGGGAAGTAAAGAGTTTATCTACATCTTTGTCTATTGCAATGACTCAGTGCCTCTACCTTAACCCTGTAATGCCAAATGTGTCATATTTGATACAAACGGTTTCTGAAATGTTTTGCGTCTGACACCTTTTGCATAATTTAATGGTAAAAACTTTGCTCAAAATCCTATTGTACACAATCAGGTATACCTGATAACAGAGGGCAGAAGACTACACAAAAAATAATCGTGACTTATCGCATAGTAATAAATTATTAATATCAAAAATGTATTTTTTTTCTTTTTACATATTTTGTTAAAAGGCCAAATAAGGACTTCAAACCAAAAAAAGTAATTTTATGTTTTTGTTTTATTCTTGGATAGGGCTTTAAAGGGTTAAAATTGAATTGGCCCAGTGTGCTCCCTCACTTCTTTGCCTGCTGTTGTGAAGAAGAGACACATAACCTCATAAGGCACTGCTGTTTACACACTAAGCTCTTCTTATGTAGCAGAGGCTGATTGGGCAGGCCTGATGGGAAGCTTGGACAAGTTGTCTCCTATTTTCTGTTTAGGTAGATAACTGTAGCTCCTAACTATGTTTTTTTTTTAAATCATATGCAGATGTGATTCATAACTCTAATATCACATAAATGGGTGTTCTTTTACTAGAACTAGTGTCCAGTAGCCAATGCGGATCACTTAGCACAGTTTGTGTCCACAATATGTGGATATTTGTGGCCAAAAGCATTTTTAGTGACTCAAATGTTTTCCAAAATCTGCTAAAGGAGGAGGACAGCTACAAGTTGAACTCCTCCCGACAAATATGTGGTGCACTCCCCTGGTTTTGTTCCAACCTTTATTTGTACACTGTAAAAAAAAAATCCAAATCTAGACAAGTAATATTTTCTTAAAATAAGTGCCTTTGCTCTTGGATTGAGGAGGTAAATTAAGTAGTTTGCCAATGGAACAAGACAATTTACACTTAAAATAAGAAAACACAATTGCATCGTCTTATTTCGAGTGCATATGATCTAATTATCTTATTTTAAGAGTAAAAACACTCATTCCATTGACAAACTATCTCATTTCTCTACTCAAATTAAGGGTAAATACACTTAGTTTAATAAATGTTTACTTACTTACTATTTCTAGATCGTTTTTCTAGTGTACTGTTTCCCAGCTGGTTGCCAGGTCCAGTTAAGAGTAAAAAGCATTTAACTTACATGTCCAAAGGAAGTTGGCAACATCTGCGTCGTTTCTGTGCCCCTTTGCTTTCTTAAAGAGGCATTACAAAATTTTCAGTAAAAACTTGCATAATGTCTCTTTAAAACAGCACTCCAAAACGTGACCGATGTTCACCGTCATTTTGCTTCTCTTTAAAAAAATTTTTCTTGAATCGGAGAAATGCAACACTTAGAATAAACCCTTTCTCAGCACTATCAAGGATCTACTAGGATCTGGAACGCCTGAGCTCCGTCTCTCGTGACTTCCACCCATTTTTCCTATTGATGCTGAATCTTTTCATGCTGACGTTGCCATTGTAAACAGAGATATTTGAATTTTTTTAACCCGTCAAATAATTATAAAACCGTTATTCATGTACAATATAAAAAGCATCACTCTAGACATTCTGTGGTTGTGTTCTTATTATGATGGTTAATCATTAAAAGCATGTAGCTGTGGCCTTTAAGGTCGGGTTTCTATTTAATATCAAAGTTTACTTATAAACAGTTAATGGATTTTACCAGATGTTATAAGGTACAAAATTAGGTTTATATAGGGCAAGGCCTGGCAAGGCAAGTTTAATGGTGTAGTACAATTCAGTACAAGGCCAATTCACAGTGCTTTACATGAAAATAATAGAAAAACAAAAGAAAAAGAAAAAAAGACACACAAAAAAAACATGACAAAGTAGGTAATAAAAAAAATTAAACAGTTGGACCACATCCTTAAACTAATAATAATACTGCTAATAATACCTCAGTTAGCAGTTTAATTTCAACAGTGAAAAGCAGCTCTAAACAAATGGGTTTTTAACTTTGACTGTAAAGAACCCAGCCTTTCAGCACTTTTCCAGTCTTCTGGTTTGTTTCCAGATCAGTGGAGCATAGGAACTAAATGCTGCTTCTCCATGTTTGGTTCTAGTTCTGCATGGACAGAGAAGGCTGGAACTAGAAGACCTGAGTGGTCTGGGAGGTTGATCCACTGATAGAAAGAATGATTTCAGGCACCTCTTCTTTTCAGCCCAACTTCTCTGTTCCTCTGATAAAGTCAGACTGATTCATAGTAGCTGGCTTCTCCTTATAGACAGCTTCCCCTAATTAGATTGGTGAAAAGATGCTAGCAGTTCATCTTGCAGTCAAGCTGAAACATATTCCTCTCAATGATCGAACTGTTTAGTGCATCTTAGCTGATCAGTCTTCATAGCGATGAAGAAAATAGCTTATTTATAAAAGAAGTCTGTTTGGAGGGGAAAAGCATTTGTGCTTCTTAAAACTTTTGGCCACAAATGTAAATATTCTATATTTTATAATGTGGTAAAATATATTGTTTAGTATAATTGTATTTGTGTTGTCTTCACTGCCTAGAAATTCTTATAAAAACAGTATCACTTCAAAAATGTTGTATTATATGTACTGTTGCAAAAAAAAAAACATAATTGAGTATCAAATAAAATGGATTTATAATTTTCTATGTCTTTTTACTGTGTTATTTTGAAGAAATGTACAAATAAAATTGTATGCAATGGTTTAGAATTTGCATTTAATTAAAGCCCATTTGTCAACCAATGTGATAAATGATATAATTGTAGCACTTGATAAAAAAAATAGTACTGTGCTTCACTTTTTATTGACCTTTCAAAAGCTTTTGACACCGTAGACCATGCTATTTTTAAAACCCAGGTTACTTCTTATTGGCCTGTCAGAGCATGCGGTTGCTTGGTTTTCAAATTATCTAGAAAACCGGTCTCAGTGTATAAAATGTGAGGAGCTTTGTTCTGAATTTGTTACTGTTCACAAGGGTGTGCCACAAGGTTCTGTTTTAGGCCCCTTCTTATTTATTTTATTTCATAAAATGTTACTGTTTAACCAAAGTGTCTGTAATTTGTTTTGACTCGGACTACTTTTGCATTGTTGTAAGTAAGGGGGGACAAACGCTGATCAGATAAGAACAGGGCAGAATGCTGTGCCATTAAGGCTGTATGATGACTGTTCTCTCTTTGCAAAGATATTAATAAATGTGCCAACTGAGTCAAATCCATCTATCTCCGTTTATTTAACTAGGGTGAATAGTTGAATACTTTTTTCCCACTACACTTGTACATCAACAATGTTGAGCAAAATTTTTCTGATGCTAATATGTATTTTTATGCTGATGATACCATTATTTATTGCTTTGGGGCATCTCTTAAACAGGCTATTTATTCCCTAAAGAAAGCATTTGTTGCTGTACAGTATTCATTTATTAATCTTAAATTGTTTCTTAATCCTGACAAAACAAAGTTAATGTTGTTTTCAAATCATAAGAAGGTGCCTCGAACCCTTCCAGTAGTGTCCACTCTGGAGGGGAATGTCAACGAGGTGGTTGATGAATATAAATACCTTGGAATTGTAATTGATGACTTCCTCATCTTCAAACCTTTTATTGATAAACTTAAATTAAAAGTAAAACGGGGCTTCTTCCTTTGTAATTAGATATGTTTTTCTTTTGGAGTAAAAAAGCACCTTGTCTCTGCCACGTTTTTATCTGTTTTAGATTATGATGACCTTTTTTTATAAGAATGCTGCATCTTCATGTCTTCAAATGTTGGACTCTGTTTACCATGCTTCATTAGGGTTCCTCACAAACTGTAGAGCCATGACACATCGCTGTGACCTGTACTCTCAGTGTCATTGGTACACGTTTATTTACAAGGCCCTTCTTGGATTACTGCCCTCTTACATTTGTACCTACTTACACAGAAAAACATGGCTTCTTCTGCCCTGAGATCCAACCATCAGCTGCTCACTGTTCCATTTGCCTGCACAGAACTGGGGAAGAAAGCCTTTAGCTACGCAGTTCCATCTGAGTGGAATATTTTACAAAGAAACTGGAAGTTGACTGAGTTTTTCTTCTTTTAAATTGAAGGTGAAAGAATTTGAAGCAGCCTCAATGATCTGTAATTTTACTTGATGTTTTTTTTTATTTACCTGTCATTTTTTATGCATCTATGCTTAATGTATCTTATGTAACTTTGCTGCCTCTTTGCCAGTACTCCCTTGAAAAAGAGGTTTTTAATCTCAATGGGATTTTATTTTTCTGGTTAAATGAAGGTTAAAAAAGAAAAAAAAAGATAACCATTTGCATATGAACTTGCATATGAACGGTTATTAAAAATACTGTAATCAAGCCCAAATTTCCATTTCAAAATATTTTTCTCTATTGTCCGGTTATTATATTCTAATCTTATTATTATTTATTTTATAAGCAGTAAAGAACAAATCATGATAATTAACAGAAATAAAAGAAACCATGACTTGGTTTGTAGCTAATTAATCTTTGTGTTGTGCTTAGTGAAGTGAGTATGGTTCAGCCCTTTGCATCTTGAACTGGTTGCTATGGCGATTGTAGCATGGCAGTATAGTTTGGTAACACACTTCTATATACAGACGGATGACTAAGCAGCCAATACAAGAAGCTTTTCTAAAGAAACCATCGTCAACAGTGTAATGAATCTGTTTCTGCAGCCGATGGAAAACAGCTGCAGAAAAATGATTTCCTCAGATCCCATTAACTTGTGTGAAATTTCTATTAAGAAGGAAGTTTTATGCAGGCTAATGTAACTGCAGCCCTAGCTGCTTATTTTTGGTTTTAGGTTTTTTTAATTAATTGTGGATGTTTTTATTAATTTCAGTTTCACAGACTGACATGGACCAAATGCGGTTTAAAGTTGATCTGGTCCAGCTTACTGATCCATGGTGGTCTAGTGGTTAGGATTTGGTGCTTTCACTGCTGCGGTTTGGGTTCCATTCCCAGCCAGGCGACGAGTTTTTAGTGGAGTGGCGGCCTAGTGTTTAGGACATAGAGCTAGGAACCCAGAGGTTCTAAGTTCCAGCCCCACTCCCACAGACTGCCACTCTGGGTCTCTGAGCAAAGATCCTTAACCCCCACAATTTCTCCAATGTGAGATCAATAAGTCACTGATTCTTGG